CCCGTATCAACATTTAACCTCGGGTTAGCGCTAAAAGGCGTTCGAAGAACTGGGCCCAGATCTACAATCTTGGACAGAATAAAATGGAACAGCAAACCTCCATCCCCCCAAATCAACAACAACAACAACAAGTTTATTCAGAATTACCATTTCTATACGTTACCGATTAAAATACAATACATAAAAGACAACTAAGTCTATGATAGTTAAAACTGAGTTGAATAGTGAAAAAAGGAAATACAAAATAGTAGTCCATTCTGCAGTTACACTATGCAGTCAACTCTCTCGGATAATCCGGGAGACTCCAGATTTTGAACCGTATCTCCCGGTCTCCAGATTAGAGTCTGAAATCTCCCGGATAATCGCCGAAGTTTGCCATTTGTTGTAGACTCGACTTTCTGACAATGAAATTTCAAATATTTTACGTTGTTTGAGCTATTTTTCTGTGAACATCTAACGTTTTCTCATAAACTTCTGTATACCATTGTAATGTAAACAATAATGTGATTGGTGGGAAGTAAACCAATCAGGTCAAATGTTACAATGCCAACAACATCTTTTTGGCCGCGAAAAAACGTGGCGCGTTTTGTGTCATCTCAAACTTTAATGGTGATAGGAATCAACGGGTATTTTTATGCAAATGACGTCATGTGCCGTGCCTTATGACGTCAGCTATCATATGGAAAAGCTTAGATTGGTTCATGATCAACGCAGTAAATACAAAAGTTCGTTTTTTGGGGGGAAAAACTTTGTTGGTGTAACTAAAATACGATAGAAAGAGCTGTTACTGAAGTATCTTAAGATCGGGATTTGTAAAAGAAAAATTCCGGTGTAGCGTATTACCTGGCAGGTCCCCTTAGACCAACCTCGTCCCCCCATGCAGGGCTTTTCCCTTAAGATATGGGTGGGGCGGGAAAAGCTACTCATTTTTTAAGGGAAAAGCCCTGGGACGAGGTTACCCTTGGATGCTATCTTTAGGGAACAGGCCTACAACAAGTCGAAAAGCTGGCTACGCCCCTGGTGTCACAAAACTCCTTTGTTCAAGATTTATTTTGAAACTTTTTTGTTTGAAGTGCGATATGAACAGGATTTCTGCCAAATTTCGTCAAATGTTAATGAGTCATTTGTATCCATTGCCTATGAAAATCAAGAAAAAATTAGCCTGCGTAGCAAGCGTTTCCAGTAGAGATATAGCGCGAAAGTTGGAGCGGGAGCAAAAAAAATGGAATGGGGAGGAGGAGGGGGAGGGGGAGGGGGAGGGGAGAGGGATGGGGGGGGG